CTACTATATCGCTACATTGAATCATATTCAGTAATCAATTGATTTTTCCATCAATACTGGGTGGTGACTCATTATGAGATGAGAACCTAGGTCCCAGACTCATCTGGTAACCAAATTTTAACTTCAATTCAAGTACTGGGGATCACCGGCTAGAGTCGTGCCACAGCCCAAGTTTTCAAATCCGCTTCAATCACATCACTTAGTATCATTAACACTAGTTCACCAAATTATATCTCAGATTGTCTTCTGGATAACTTTTTACATTAGTTGGTTTATTTCCTAGATATTTAGATTATACCACTCATTGTTGGTGGGCAGGTTATTGTTAGCTTAATGAATGGTGATTCTTATTGCAATCAAGAGAAGTTAGTTTTTTTTCTATGAACATTTTCATGTTGTATTTTTTTACATTTGAAAATTACCCAATAAAAGTTTTAACTAGTTTCCTGTATGTCTGTGTTGAGTTGTGGTATGGTTATTGGGGTTTTATGGTTTTGTGAATATGTGTGTTTCAATTGACACTTTCCATGGGAAATAAAAGACGACTAATTAGACTATCTGAGATGGCGTTGTCTTGGAAAACTTATCTTGATATAAGAGGATGGTGATGAAGACGATAAGCTGCCTGCTTGAACTTTGGGCTACCTCATTTTACCACAGAATGGACTGCACCAAATTTCTCCTTTCTACATTATTTTAATCATTCAATTATGCCATCTAATCGTATTATATATTGTGGCACGTTTTTAAAATCCTTACAACCTATCGTGCTACAAGTTGATGGGCAACTTAGGAAAAAGCACCATGATACACGGCAACGGGCACTCAAGTGCATGACCAAAGAATAAATGACTATTACAGAAATACTCAGCAAAAACTGTAGGTCGTTACTGAAGAAAGTTGACTACCTTTAGTCACCCTTATTCACAAGTGTTTATCAGAATATGGGTGTAATAACACTGAAGGAAACATGACTTCACAACCTGTACGATGACGATTTGGTTTACCTCAGTGGTTTCAAGTTATTTCGACAAGATCGATGCTTCTCCAAAAGGAAATGTAGTGAGGCTGTAGCCACATTTATCAATACAAACTGGTCTACCTCCAACTATGTATGCTTTAGCTTCTCTAACGAAAAAATTGAGTGCATTACCATTAAATGACGTCCTAAACATTTGAGTGTAAATACAAATACATATACATAAAAAGCATCTATGTCACATCTGGCTATAGTTTTTCAGATTTTTCAACTCTTGCAGGCAAATTTACTGAATTTTCTGCTCTGGTTCTGGGTAATCTTTGTGTGTATTCTACGGAGATTTCAATTCATGTGACGGCAGTTTCCTTGTATCGTCGGGTCATGAAAACATGGTTAACTTTTACACGTGTCTTGACAACACACTATACTTAGTGTTTACAAATGACTGTGATATATATATGAAACCGATAAACGAGCTTCACTGAAGAATTCTGACCACTGTATTGTACGTGTTTTGCCCAAAGTATATGGTAAGTTACATACGAAGGCTTTTGGACACGTTCCCACAAAAGTCCAGTACAGATGCTATTCACAGGAGAATATACTACTTTTGAGAAGCATGCTTAAAGAAGCAGACTAGGATATATTTGTTGACGAAGTTCTAGACAAGACTATCACTAATATTACAAGCTATCTCAGATTGTCTCGAAATATGCTACCCTGCTGAAACAATCTACATGAGATTTAACTGACCTTCCCCCCTCACCTCAATAAGCTCCGGAGAGGAAAGGAAAGGTTGTATAAGGTGAGAGATCACCCTGGAGTTAAAAGATTTAACTGGCTAATTAAGTCTGAAATACAATGTCTAAATGCTATATGCAATCAGAAGTTTCTATCGTGTAAGACCTCTTCCAATATATGGGAATTAGCTAACTGGTAAAAAACAGATGACAAAAGAAGCTTGTTCGGATGTCTGCGCGTTAAACAAGTCAATCATACGTCAGCAAGCTAATTTCATCTTCCTAGTGTTCATAGTCAAATGGATAGCTGCTTTCCTGTTATTATACAAAGAACTTATTTAGATGTCTTGAATGCTTGAATCTATTCCAAAACCTGGGTCCTTATGCTGTTTTGAGTATTATATTTAGAAAGTATGCACATATTTTATGTCATTCACTTACTTATATTTTCAGTGCATTGCTTTCTGAAAATGCAACACACACTGCTTGGAAGGAGATCAAAGTTGTACCTATGCTTAAGTCATCTTCTGGATCAGATACTAAGTTTCGACCCATCGCTATAACTTCCCATTTTTTGAAGACAGTGGAGATATCACTTCTTGTGCTTGAAGCTTCATTGATGGCTTTCAGAGATCCGAAACAATTTGCTTACAAACACACAGGAGAAGTAATTTAGATGCTGTCACTGTATTGTATCATAGTATTGTTTCTAGGCTCGACAAAGGTGTTATGTTCGTTGTGCCCTATTGGATTACTCATCAGTCTTTTACTCTGTTCCTAGACCACTCTTGTTAAATAAGCTTGAATGGGTCATACTGAGCCATGGGTTACAAAATGACTGTATTCTATAAAGGGAGGCACTCCACTTCATTGCTTACTAAAGCTGTTGTTCCTCGGGCTGCAGTACTTTCTCCGTTTTGTTTTCGTTCTTTTTGCATGATTTACCTTATTCTGTTGAACCTAATTTTCTTAAATATGCCGATGACCTGATGGCCTCTGTTCCAGTTAACTCTCACTTGGATTTCTCTGAACTAAATGGTTTCTTGTCTGTAATTAACTGACAGTCTCTCTCAAATCGTCTCAAGTTAAACCCTTCTAAATGTCAAACTGTTAATTTTTGCCTCAGACGTAAACAAGACTTGTGTGGGCTTCTTAAATCTCATGATGTCTGTTGTATTGATGGTATTTCTACAGAAAGTAAATTAAGTGTTGAATATCTTGAATCGAAGTTTATTTCTGATCTTTTTTGGTCACCTCATATCCTCTTGGCTTCCAAGAAAATCTTTCGTTTAAGGTATTACATAAAGAAACTGAGGCTCTCTGGTATAACTCGGCCTCTACTTTTACGATTTAGTAATTGCTACATTTTTCTCATTCTTCTCTATTGTTCCCAGTTGATCATTCCTGGTCTACTAAAAATGGACTATGTCATACTGCGTAGGATTTTGAAGGCCGTCAGTAGGGTGAGTGTTATACCTCTTGCTCAGCTGATTAACGCTGAAGTTGACAGGGAAGTAGCTACAGTAATTTTAACTGAAACTGAGCATCTACTTCATTCACAACTCTCTCCTTGTATCTCCTCAGGGAGGACAAGAGGAAATTACATAACACTGTACGGTTGTACAGGTAAGTACATGAACCCGACACTGGCTTATCCAGCAAGCGTATTATGGGAAGAAAAAAGTGTAAGAACAGGACTTATTTATCAATTTTCTCGTCATTAATATTCGTTGTATTACTTAAATCCTTATAATAAGACTATTTGAAATGTAGAGGGATATATATATATATATATATATATATATATATATTTGGAAAAAATTATATCCTGTGAGGAAAACTAAACACTATGTGGTGATGACAATAATAATAGAGCGGGTGATGACATAGGCATTTATGATTATAATAACAACTGAAGTGCGAATGATAACAAATAGATTATGTAATATATGGAATGGTACATTAGCTCCCACCCCATTAGCCCCCCCTCCCACTTTATTAATTTAACCTTTGTATCCTTCCTTTATCACTATTATTGTTATTATAATCGCTTTCACTTCAACTAGTTTCCGGTGTTGTTTCACTTAATTGTCTTAATACTTTTAGAAAACATTGACTTCATCTTGTCCAATTGGTCTGATGCCATTACATAATACTTAATTGATTTACCATTTTAAACAATTTTTTCACCCTCTTCTGAGTTATATACTCTCTATGTACCATTCCATATATTACATAATCTATTTGTTATCATTCGCACTTCAATTGTTATTATAACCATAAATGCCTATGACATCACCTACTGAGGTTTTCACAGCTGAATGGAATAACTAGTCCTCTTAAGTAAACTGTGACTTACAGCCTAGTTAAAAGACATGTAATAGGCTACTAAGCTACATTTATCATAATTATAAATAGTAGTCAAAGTAATATGTACAGCTTACTATATCAAAAAAGCTAATGTAAGCTAACAGCACTCTAACTTACCAATAACCAGATGGAGAGAAGTACAGACGCACTAAAGAGTATACCGATTATAACTGTAACCTGGGCATGATCTGAATTCGCTGTATTGATATCACATTAGTTACACACTAGACGAGGTGGCAGAAATCGATAGTTCAGCTGACGACTGGATACAGTTGGCCAACTGTGATCGAACGGTGACTATTTTAAGACCCAAGTGAATGAAAACCAAAGGATCGAATGGCCAACCAAATTATATATATATATATATATATATATATATATATATATATATATATATATTTCACGGAAGTTTTCATCACGGAGTGACACCAGTTGGAGAACCGCTGAAAACCTTCAAACACTAAATATCTGTTTTGTCCTAGTATGAGACTACTCAGCAGTATACATCCACGACCCCGCCCCATCAGGGGTTGAACTGCAGACCTACAGGTTTAGAAGTGATCGCGTCAACTGTTCGGTAATAGGTTGAAGTTCGGTGGTTTGCAGTTCCCTGCTTTTGTCACCACCCCAGATCACAAGCCGGCATACGCTTCACTTCCGACTTGGTGGACTCCACAGGTCACTGCTTCTCATTAGGACTTTGGGATATCCATCCCGAGTAAGATAAATAATTATTATCCAATCTACAGACGACCAGGAGTTTATCATGTGTAATTAAATCCTCGTAAACAGTCAATAAATTCTTACTAACAGACATAAAATCTAACGTTTTATGTGCTCAAACAACATCCCTTGTGAATAATATTCGAAACAGCCGAAGTAGGATAACAATAATCATAGAAATTACTCACCTGAGTTGTAATCATGACAACGGCAAACATGCATTGAACCAAATTTGTACGATCTAAACAGTCTAAACAATTCACGTGAAATATCCACTTCTGTTCACATATCATTCCATTACGAGTAAGCCTAGGCAAAATAAGAACATAAAAGACCCTGTACTATATTCTTAAGAATTTCCAAAGCAGTTATTATTGCTTTCTGTTCAACTTATTACCGGCTATAAATTAGTATGAACCACTGTAAAATGTGATTGGACGGTAATGAACAAGTGTATGTATTGGGATCACTCTGGCTAGACAGCAAGGAACCTCTTAGTCGGCTAGTCTCAAGCAGTCTATGAATATCAAATGTGAGATCTGGAATTACTACGAAACGGTTCAGTTTCCTACGACTCAAATCAATACATCGAGAGACATAGAGCAGTAGGACGAAAGACTGAGGAATAGAGAAGAAGAATGCAAATGAAAGTTGTAGAAAATCATTCGAAGATAGAAAGAGGAGGTAAACAAATACTAAAATGGAATATGACTGTTCGGATGAAGATAATGTACTGACTCATCTGAGCCACTGGGATCTGTTTTGAGTCACCAATCGCCGATTTCGGTTGTCAGACGGCAAACATGAGTTATTAATACTGTTAAAGTTCAGTAATAAGCAAAATAGATAAAGTCAAAGTGAAAAGTTAGATCATCACCATCAATATCAACATAGGACCAGGCATTACTGCGTAACCCTCCGAGTTGCCACACCTCATATCAGTACATCAAGTAAAAAGGCAGTGAACTGCAAGATGTAGATAAGAAAATTCAGTCAAAAGAAATTTAAAGCACGAAAAGAGAGAAACGAAGAATGAGGAAAAATGGTGAAATTCGGTATTACCTCGTTAAGATGAGGACAATGCATGTATACAACTGCGTCACTGACATCGGTTCTGAGCCATATCACCTAGAGTCTACAACCACTGGTTCCTCCTATCCAGCCGAACCCAACCGACTAGTCAGCATCACCCCACATGACTCAAACCAACAGTCAAACACTTCATACATTGATGCCATGTTTTAGTCTGGCCATCTTGGGCCTTTTTCCAGCCTAGGAATACTTCGGTCAACATTATGTGACGAGGCAATCGGCAACTAGGCATACGTAATACGTGTCCAAACCATCTCAGTCGATGAAGATTCATAACCTCGTCAACTGATTTACCTCTACTCCCTAAAACTCTACACCTGACTTCTGCATTACTCATGTGGTGACACCACGGAATACGTCCTATACTACAAAGGCAACGGAGGTCAAACACTTGAAGCCTTCTCATATCTTCCACTTTAAATGGCCATGTTTCACAGCCATACAGTAGAACAGACCGGACTGCTGTGCAGTACACGCGACCCTTAATAGACAAACGGATATCACGGTGGCGCCATAGATGGCGTGAATTGGCAAAAGCCAATCGAACCTTTTGTATCCGTGCAGAAATCTCATCGGCAACTAACCCAACAGGGTTGATCCTACTTCCCAGGCAAGTGAAGTGGTCAACACACTCAACCACTTCACTCTCTATTGTTAGCCGCGGTACCGCTGAAGACCAGTCCTGGAGCAAAAATTTGCATTTGGGTGGTGAAAATCTCATCCCAAACATTCTCAAATTCCCACTCAAAGTGTTCAGAAGACTCTTAGTCTTGTCAGCATCTTCACCTGACAGGACTATGTCATCTGCATATTCTAGATCTAAAGAAAATTCACCTGTGATTGGGTCAACGTCTGTGTAATTGGGTGACGAGATGAAAACCTCCATAAGTATATCTATGATAAAATTAAATAAGAATGGAGATAGTGGGCACCCTTGACGGACACCACCCGATGAGCACAGCTCCCTGGACATCTCAACATAGGCTCTAACACGCCTACAGGTGCTCGAGTAGAGAGCCTTCAATAAGGTGATGTACTTACTTGACACACCTTTCAGTGAGGAACATTTCCATAAGACTCCTCGATCCATGGAGTCGAATGCCGCCTTCAGGTCAAGAAATACAGCTATTATCAGGCCTATGTTCCAGGACGTGGCACATTGTCAATATTTGGTTTATACACCCACGGCCAGGTCTAAAGCCTGCCTGCCTGCTTTTCGCAGGCTTGCTGTTCCCGAGCTCCAATCAGGCGTCGAAATATTATAGAACCTGGGATCTTGGACACTATGCTCGTCAGGCTGATTCCTCTGTGGTTATCACAAGAGGACATCTCGTCTTTCTTGAAGACTGGGATAGTCAATGATTTACACCAGTCAGAGGGGATCGGCTTTGATTCCCGTATGCTGGTTAACACTTCCGTCAACCTGACTAAGAGCACTCTACCACCATCCTTGTATACCTCAGCAGGTAGTCCGTCTGGTCCTGCCGCCCTTCCTCGTTTCAGGTTACCTACAGCTTTCTCGACTTCTCCTAGTGTTTGGGGGCCTATCTCAATGTTCCATTCAGGATCCGACTGCATAGCAGACAACGCATTGGTGGCTGGAGGCCAGTTAAACTGTTCCTCGAAGTGTTCTCTCCATCGTTCTAGTCGCCTCCCCTGCGAGTGAATCGCAGATCCGTCCTTCTCCTCTATAGCCTCCCTAACTGTTGTTGACTTTTTCCCTTCAGTTTCCTTAATAAGTCTAAATAACTGTCTATTGTTACCAATCGCCGCCGCCTTTTCCATCTCTTTAGCCTTCACTGCCCACCACTGTTCGAGGTCGTTGCGTAGATTTTTTCTCAATCTACTTTTAAGCTGCACTCGCTCTTCATTGTACTCAGAGCCTGCAGGGATGCGTTTACGTGTATCCATTAGTTCGAAAGAAACTGCTGATATCCACTGGCTATTTTTAGCCACTATTTCGGAGTCGGCTACGGTCTTCAACGTTGCTTTTGCAGCAGATTGGAGATGACACCAAGTTTCTTCTGGATGAGTGATAATGTTCTGTTCCGATAGCTGCCTAGCCAACTTCTCACTGAACACAGCTTTGGTGTTTTCATTGTCCAGCAGCACTCGTAGTGGTTTTGTTGTCAAATTTTTCTTACGTCCATTGAGAAGCAGGGATATACGTGTTTGGACCAACTCGTGGTTGCTGTCCAAACACGTACTCCAGAAAGAGCGGTAGTTTTCCACCGGTCCTCTCCAGCGATGAGTAATAGGAATGTAGTCTATCTGTGTCCATCGCTGAGTTGAGCTCGGTGGATGCAACTTCAGACAGTGTCTTTCTGTATGTCTAGCTAGCTAAAAATAGGCGGTTATCTGAGCACAGTTGTAGTAGGCGATCACCGTTATCTGTACGTTCAGCCGGGATTCCGAAGGTGGAAAGGTTAGACAAATACTATATGAGGACATATAAATGAGACCAGCATGTGGATTCAAATGTATATTTTAATGTAATATATTGCGCTAAGATATGTACATTCTTATAGTGATTAAGTAGGACTCGGCGTTAGACTTTTTCCAGGACATTCGTAAAATATGTAGACTGTTGACAGTTGCTTTGTTCTGCAATAAACAGAATCAGTGATGTTACACTCATCTTTTTGACCACGAATGAAACTCAAGACGCACATTTTATCCTATTTAGGACTCGTCGGCTAGATAAACCTGTACCCCAGTGAGTGTTGTGCCCAGTGAGACTTGAACTCAGCACCCATTGCATCAAACGCCAAAGCTTTATCCACTAGGCTAAAAGAGATCGAGGAATTCGACCCTGTATAGCAAAGGAAAACTACATGTATCAATACGCATCAACTAATACCCGTTGCATAAGAGGTGGCTATCGTGCTTCAGTGACCTAACGCTTTAGCATTTGAAGTGATAGGTTCTGGGTTTGAGTCTTAGTGGGAACAAAATCACTCAATGGAGGTAAGCACATCCAGCTGACGAGTTCCAAATAGGACTGAACGCGTACCCTGGATCCCAATGCTAGCCACTATGTATTACTGGTATCAAATTTAAAAATACTGGCAATATTGAGGCATCCACATAGGGGCCCATATCCAACCAGCGACAAATATTCACAAGGTATACCATCAAAGACCAGTTTTTACTACCTCAGCAACCCTACTAAGAAAGGCCTACAAGTCAGTAACCTGTTTGTATTGACCTCTAGATCAATCAACATGACAACGTATTTGATTCATACTGCTTGCCTATCGACAACATTTTACACTTGTTTGTCAGTATTTTTGGTCATTTGGTTAATCTGCTCGTTTACTTGACTAGCTTCGAATTTTAGATTGTATACTTTTAGCAAGTTATTTGGATATTACTAGTCGTTGCTGATCCCTACTTATAACTGATCCAGTGATTTTCCTTGAGGAAGTGCCACACTTGAAGATTATTATACCCATCCATTTATTCCTTCTTACATCTAGTGGTTCCACTCACTTTAGTGGACAAGAGATGGATGAAATTTTAGCGAGAATTGCGCATACATCATAATATCTGTTTTGATATATTCAACAACAACTAGTTGCTGAGATTCGACCTATAAAAAGTATCTTGTACTATAATAACACGATCTGATCACATTGCTCTGAGTTCATCAGAAACCCTAGACCTAATTTTGATTGATCGACATAAATATAGGCGTGAAAATCAGGAGGATTAGATCAGATAAACTAACATATACAATAATATTTTCAATCATTATATGCATCCATATATGCAAATAGTTGTAAAGGCTATTCTAACTGTTCTTAGACTACCATACATTACTTTTACGAGAAGTTAACTTTCAAACAGTGATAACTACTTAGTTATCGGATGATGACTGAACTTGAAATGATAACCTGGGTTGCAGCAGGTCTCAGACGACCAGTCTAAAAAATATCGGACCGGTGTTCTACCAACTGATCTACGAGACTCGGCTGCTGAACACGTTTTCAATTCACTCCACTTACTGAGGGTTCTGCTGTCATGTGAATGTATGCTCACTAGCTATCCGTTCATCTTCAGGCAGCCAGATAGACAAAACCAACGGAGAACCTCACACACACACACACACACACACACAAGTGCACTGGTTCAAGTTACCACAGTCCACAGTGGTTAGTAAACAAAAAACAAATGGACAGAAAAAGTGTAACATTAAAGTAGGAAAAGTTGTGTGAGAGAATAAAGTATTTGAAGATAACTGTTAGTGCAAATATTCAAGCTTTAGAAGACGTTGGGGAGTAAGTTGTTCATCTACGCCATTGTAATCCAGTGGTAACGTGCTCACTGAGAAATTTGAAGGTCTTGCGTTCAATCCCTGATAAGGTCATGGGTGCGCATTCTGAGCAGTCCCATACTGGAGCAAAATAGTTATTCAGTGTTCTCAGGTTTCCAGCTGTTCTGCAAATAGTGTCATTTCATGATGAATACTAACTAGAAACCAATAAATCCCCATAAACCTCCAAATTGAAGTAGCTACATTAGCTGCACTTCCAGATCTGTAATCATCGTGCAGTTAAAGTAACACCAATCTGCCAGACAACGGTCACCTCATGTAGTCTGAATAATAATTTTCTTGGGGAGGAGAAATATTCTTGCAGTGCAATACTGACACAGATAACTGGCGTCATGGCTATCGTTGATTTGAATACTAGAATGGCCATTGATAACCACTTCATAGAGAATGTGTACGTGCAGCGCTGATTAAATGCTGTGATTCTTCAGAGTTAAGTGAGTAAGATGGAATAAGTTGCATCATGCCACAGGTTAAAAAATCATATAGACTACTGTAGTCCGATTGAGTAATTGACAAGACATGTGCTCATCAATGAGTCACACGTTTAGTCTGATGGAAGATATAGATTTACTGTACCCAAAAGGATTTTACTTCTTGCCTTTTCATCACAACTAAATTCAACATTCTCATTTGTTCTTTTTTAAAAACAACCTTTATATTTGTCGCAAGGACCTTTTCCACCTAGTCTTTTAGTTGATCAACCTGAAAATAAAATCAACAAGAATAACCATACTATCAGTAATAACAACTTACCAACAGTATTTGAAATTACGAAACAAATCTGCAATACCAGTTAGGAGAACTGAAGCATTTTGAAATTGAGAATTTCGACTGTTCACATACACCCACACCGTGATTATGCACGAATATGTCATCATCGTCGTCGTTGTTGATGATGATGTTGGCGAAGAAAGCGAAAAAGAAAAATAGGCAGTAAGAAGAAGTCAACTTTCTCTTAAACTGATAACTGGCGGTAAACGGAGAGAGTGACATTCCAGTATCATTTGTAGAAAATACATCAGTAGGACTTGACCACAGCATCAAGCCATAATCACGTTTTAGTACATTCGAAAGATACCAACACATAATGATATACATATGTAACAATATTTCATTAAAATATCTACTTTTTGGAGATTCAATTTGTTTCTAGCTTCATATCATCAAAGTAGTCAGTTGCTGATGAGCATGTTGAATTCGGATTCCATAGACAAACATACTGTTCTTGGTAGATAGTGGACACGGGCTTCGTCTTACTTGGAACTCGTCAGTTGGATGTTTCCGCCTCCTAGTAAGTGGATATCGTAGCTCAGTCGATAACACTGTGGTCCTTCAAGCGACCGGTCCTGGGCTCGAGTCTCACTGGGGACAATATTACTCACTAGGAGGCAGATAGATTCGACTGATGAGTCTCAAGCAGGATGAAACGAACGCCCTAGATTCAACTGCCAGCCATTATCCATCATTAATATCAAAAACGAAGATACTGTCAATATCGAGGGATACATGCAGCAGCCTATATGCCAATAGTGGCCGATCTATTCTCTCCAGTCAACAAAGAAAAATTACAAGCTGTGACATCAATACTGTAGGCAACTTCATTTACGTGGATAAGTAGTTTGTTCCAATAACCTTCAATTTGTTTCTTACTATAATGACTAACTATATGTATTTAACAATCATGTCACTGTACGATGAAAATATTCTCCCTGACTAGCCATACACCAACATAGTATCTGGTGAATGCGAAGATCCAATGCTTTCACGTCCTAGATGAGATACCTACAATTCGACTACAATAGTGAAGATTCAACCATCATTCACCTTCGTCAAAATTTATAGTATTACTCATAACTGTGTATCTAGTATGGTGGTCAGAAATCAGGTAATCTGGGACTAAACTAACTGATCAGTTAATGATCTTTGATTGATCCGTGTTAACCACTTGTGTTGATTTGTAATTTAACTCAGCTCACTTAAGGCCTTCGTATCAATATATTTTATCGTCAGCATCGATTCATCGAACACGCTACCGGTCAATTCGATTTCCTATCTGGACCCACCACATTTCGCTTAACTGTGATATCGACTCATTCTTCCGACATTCATGTCCTTCTACATTTTCTTTTGGTAAATGTCATTTGATTTTTGTTGAAGTTTCGGTCCCTGTGTCTATCGGAAGTACGTCAACTTGAAAAACCCAGATAAATCTGCATGTAATAGTTAGAAATATGGGGGAGTTTTGAGTTGTAGTATCTGTGAAGCGGGCAATGGGTCACGCCTGTTGTGTAAAGACTAACGTAATGTCACATTACATTGATATGATTATGAGCAATAATTTATGCTCAAAACGTCATCAAGTAAATAATACTAGATCACTGTGTGTTAAAAATCAAATAAACAAATCTAATATAGAATTAAATTCTAGCACAGTGCTAAAGTTTTACACCTATATTAATGTGTGTGTGTGTGTGTCTATTTGTCTGTCTGTCTACCAGTCTGCGATCACAGTTTTGATTAGATATATGAGAATTTCCCTGTTATTACTAATATCCAACTTTCCATTTAATCTTTCTTTTATACATTACACACTACCACCACCACTGCCAACTAGTGAGCAGTTCTCGCTTTGATTACTTTCCAGTTCAGCATTGTCTTACTGAGTAAATACATTTATGTACTAGTGGTCAAGCCTTGCTTCACCTAAGGTTTCCTAGCTCGTCCATCTTCATTAGTAAGGCACATCTGCAACATTGGAGGAAATCGGTGTTTCTACAAAGATTCAAACCTGCATTCCTTCAATCTCATAGTAAGACTGACTACCTGTAGTGTATTATATTAGGCATGAAAACTGCAAATTCGATCGGTGGACATAGATCAGTAATCAATACACTGGATTTGTGTTAAATTTAGTAGTCTCAGAGTTATATGCTGGAAAAAAGAGACAGTCATGTGGCATTTATAATCACTAAATACCTAATCTACAGACAGCAATATTATCACTAATATCTACAGTAAAACAACAAGGTAATACAATAATAATAATAATAATAATAATAATAATAATAATAACAGTAATAATGGTAATAATAATAAGTAGATTGCAAATATTAGACAAACATGTGTGAACTAAATCCAGTCAGTGTACTTGCACTTCTCTAATGATGAGTGATTTAAACGTTGAAGTAAAAAGAAAACATGTTAATGATGGATAGTGGTTAGGAGTGGAATCCAGGACGCGCAAAAACAAAAACTATGCATGTCGCACAAGAAGCGGCTGTCGCGACTTGGTGACCTAGTTAATAAGGCTCTACGGTTTGAAACGATCGGTCCCAGGTTCGAGTCCCAGTGGAAGCAACATTGTCAAACGGGAGGCAAGTACGTTCAGCTGACGAGTCCCAAATAGGATAAAAGGCGAGTCCCGGATTCCACTGCTAGATGCTAGCCATCAATAATTTAAAATTGAAACACAAGCAATACATCGAGGCATCTGCATAGAAACCCATATCCTAACAGAGACCGATCATTTCAGTCCAATCAACAAGGAAATAATATAACCAGCATATTTAGGACATCAGTATTGTACTCCACCTCCCCCCATACTCCTCGTCTTCTTCTTCTACCTACTCGCTTGTCTAAAACAACCGTCATCACCATCGCATCATACATACAGTTATGGTAAAAGGGGGGAGGAGAATAAAATGAAATGTCAGTGTTTATTCAAGTTACCTAATTTACTTTTATTCGTAAAGTAACCTACAAACGACGCTGAAATGTATTCCATTTCTCCTGCCGTCAAGAACAGAGAATGGATTTTATTGGTATTTGTTTATATCAGTTTGAAGGTAAGTTGTCACAATTTGTTAAAAAGAATAAAATTATTCAAATGAATCATTCGGTTATATAATACATTTAACGAAAGGATTACCATAAAATAAAAAATCAGAATATACCGTAACTTAGGACTGATCAATTGAGACTATATTTTCAAAAAACAAACAGTACAAGATGAATGTGAATACGTTTGTTAATGGCTTCCGGAAACTGTTTCCATCGGAAAAACAGTGATCTCCGACTAGTCTCACAGCTTCAAATGCATTCAATGTAAAGTCGTTAATTCATACCGAACGTCTGCTGTCTGCTGCCAAAACAGTGTTAAAGACGCTAAATTGCCGTCAGGAATCGGTATGAACTTAGTGTTTAAGATTCTAGGTTCAATAGTCATCGGGCGCTTAAGTGAAGATCGGGAATAGAAAACTCAAAAAAACCAGACAGAAACATTGATACAGAATAGTCAATTTTGTGTCACATCAAAGTCTGTTATTGTCTTACCCTTTGCTCTTTTTATGTCTTCTTTCTACATCAGACCATTTTTTTATTTATTTCTCTGTCCCTCATCTTGGTGCTTTACCTCATTATAAGTTGCTGTGTAGCGCGGCAACTAGAATGGTTGGGCTTTAATACCAAATCGTAAGTTGATATTTACTTGTTGACTATTCCATCGTCATATTCCGCCCTTAGTTTCAAAATTCAATAAGAATTCAAACGCTACATCATATAGCTGGTATGTCGAAGCGATCTCTTCCTCTCCGTTGCCCCAAAGATGTACCATCTTCTTACATATCTGCAATGGCTGACTATCCAAGTTATATGAACAGCTTATATGACTTTCCGATAGTTCTCTAACGTCTTTACTGTTTGTACAATCACACTCAAATTCTAGCAACATTAATGATATTCATTGTATGCGGAATAATTTTTAGATGTGATTGTAATACTAAATAAGAGACTATTGACGACGTATATTTGGTTAAACTGTGTTTTTCGATTTGAAATGAATATTTACACGCATAAACAATGATAAGCTTTTACTTTTAGTAAGATGAAAATTGGAATGATTACAGGAGTGACTTTAAAGGCCACCTTAGCAACTGCTGAATACGCCAATCACGTTTCAATATTTAGCTTGGAAAAGTTCTCCATAAAATAGAGGGTTGTAATTGGCTGTCTCATCAGTTGCTAGGGTGGCCTTTAAGTCACCCGACACCGTGGCAAATCTGCTCAGAATGTTGATGAAATTAAGGAAGATTTTCGTTCTTTCATATTTATTCCTCCATTTCACAATCTACGGGCAACTTTGAAAGCCACTCTAGCAACAATCAAAATAACCAATTAGGTTTCTTCACTTTGGCTAAAAAGTCATTTCAGTCCATAAACAAATCATGGATGGTATAGTAAAACTTAGAGTATCGGACACTTCAAACAGCAAACAGAACTGAAATCAGAAAAAAATAACCTGACGCCAAGTCAACAGCGAAAAATAAATCAACCAATCAGATTACCGTTACGCCCACGTCCTTCAAGCAGAGCCAATTGCAGCACAGTGTGATAAAACTTGCAAATTAAAAAAGTAACTATTTTTACCGACTAACTTTAAAAGCTATGCTAGTAACCACTAGAATAACCAATCAATTTTTTCATATCGCTCGGATGATTAGTGTTTCATCAATACGAAGAAAGCTAATTGGTTATTTCAGTGATGCTTGAGTCATCTTTAGAGTCACGCTTTCTGATCTTTTGAGCACTGTCAAATAAAAAAATGAGTCAGTTGGATAATACATACTAATTGTCTGCGACCAAGTTAACGTTCATCAGTTGAACGAGGTGTTCTACTGACAATTTATAAACAGATTTAGGAAAATGGCTGTTTTGTTAAGGTGACACCTTAGCACTTATATATATATAATGATTGCACCTTAACGGGGAAAACCAGATAACTATCAATTAGCTTCAACCTGTCTGCAATTGCTCAAATATCACATGACAGTCTC